GAGGCCACACCTGTCCTTGTATCTCAGACTCCTAGGTGAAATGAAAGAACCAACTTTGCAAGGTCGTCCTCTGACCTTTACACTCACACCCTCTCCACTGATAATATTAACAATGGCAGTGATAAAACATTTCAAACAGGAAAACAACCAACAAAGAACGGGTTTTTGAGGTCTAAAAGAAAGCTTTTACAGGAAAGTAAGTCAGGGTTGAGATAAGCAGGGAGAAGGGACGCAAGCCCTGGCTTTGCAGAGGCCACCTAAGACTTCAGAGAGGTGGTTCCGATAGGAACTGTTACCCACAAGGTGGGGGGGGGCATGGGAAAGGGAGGGGCCAGAGAACGTGAGCCACCCTTCTCAGGAGACTGGTTGTGAAGGAACAGTTGGGAGCAGCCACTTGACACTACAGCTGAGGCTCAGTTTTCTGGGCTTGGAAAGTGGTAAGTGCATCTGTTGGAGCGGAATCTGCCTCTACCATTGTAAGGAGTTGCTGCTTGATATTTGAGACCTACCATCTGCTAAGGAAGCTCTGGGCTCCCCTTCTAATCCTTTGGCCTCTTATTTTTCATTTCACGTACAATTTCCATAATTTCCCTGTGATGTGAGAGAGCTGGAAATTGGACATTTCCTGGAGCATTCAAAGGCTGAGTTCCACCGAGGCCATCTCATGCTCAATCAATGTGACATGTCTTCCCTGGTTCTCAGCTTGACTCTTCCAAAACATGAAACTGGAGATGGCTCCCCAAAGACACTTTAAACCCCAAGTATCACCTTACATTTGTACAGTAACGGCCCAGCCCCCGAGCGTTTTGAAAGCCTTTGTTCTATCTCATTCTTACAATGCCCCCAAGAGGAGCGAACGTGATGAGAAAATGCCGTGTCACAGGCAGTGCCAACCGGCTCACCAACAGAAGGCTGGAAGTTCCTTTGCTCCAGTGAGGCCATGCCCTTTCTTCTCCATCTATCATTTTCCTCCCCCTTTACTTTTTCAAATTATCAGCATCAGTGACGGCTTGTGCCACGAGAGAAAGATGGGGGCCAAGGAGGGAGTCTTCAGCTGCACCCCTGTCTAAGTCACTGGTTCCAATTGGCACTCCGGCACTACAGATAGTTTCAATGCCCTCTCCAAACTTCGAAACCTTGTATTCTCATTAAAATCCTACAAAGGCATTTAAAATGTATTCCTTTATATTTTTTATACATGTTTGGTTCTTTGGTCAAAGATACCTCGTTATCTTCTCTTGTAGTAGTTCTCAGCCTTCCTAATGCTGTGATTCTTTAATACAGTTCCTCATGTTGTGGTGATCCCCAAATCACAAAATTATTCCATGGCTACTTCATCTAATTCTGATACTATTATAAATCATAATGTAAATATCTGATATGTAATACTTCACCTAATTTCAATACCATTATAAATCATAATGTAAATATCTGATAGGTGATATATTTGATATGTGACCCTGTGAAATGGTTGTTTGACCCCCCAAAGGGGTCACACCCCACAAGTTGAGAACCATTATTCTGTTTCCTTCTCGCTCACACCGAATCTCTTCTTCCTTTCAAGTCTTCGTACTTTCCTGTCCACGTTTATGTGTGATCCACATTTAGTAAAAGGTGCCTGCATGAGCATGGATGGAGGAGGTATTTGTTTAAGTGGGGGCAATGTACCAGTGGCCACGCCACTGAGAAATACAAGGGCAATTGTCAAAAGGAAGATGCCTCGGACCTGTGGCTGATAATACACTTCCAGGTAGTTCTAATATGCACATATGAAAGCCAGTGAAGTTGGGACATTAATGATGTAGGGAAACCATATCAGAAAGGGATCCTTCCTCTTTGAGGATGTTCATAGTGGCAGGTCCTCCTCCTATATAGCCAGAGCCCAGACACAGGGAATACTTTTAACATTGCTAACTTACTGGGCGGCACCCCTGACACGCTGACAATACTCTCTAGGCTGAACAGTTCTCACTGCTTCTGCTCACCCTCTCTTTCTTGATGATGCTCCAGCTTTCTCACCGCTGGTGAGCCAAGAGTGAGATCGTGTACGCCCATCAGCCACAGTTGCTGGTTATAAACACAGCTTCTTCCTTTCCCTTGAATATCAACTCTTCACAACCTGGCTCTGTGGAACTCAATGGAAAAGGTAGAAATCTTCTTTATCTCAGAAAGGTCTTTCCAGGCGTTTCTGCCACAATGTACCTACCCCATGGATCTATGAAAGACAATCTGAATTTATTTCACTTACGCGGCCCTCACTGGAATGTAAGGTGCAGGGGCAAAGGCTTACCTGCCTCCTTTATTGGCCATATACCCAATGTCCAGGGCATAAGGTGGACTTTTCAAAACCAGCCAAGTCAAAGAAACCAGGGGATAGAAAGTGGAAACATGTTTCTGAAATACAGTGGGCACATCTAGGCTTTACAAATACTTTACTGGGAGAAGACTTTGTGTGGAGAGTCACTGTGCTGATGTAGTTTCGAAGTGAGATCTTGACGGCTCCTGATAAAGGGGGCAGACACACAATTACAGACACTAACCAGGTCTAATAGATGTGTCCACTGCATGGAGAATTCCATGTAGACCACATTAATAGGCCGTCTACATGTACATCATTCATGTTCATGGAGGGTTTTGTCAGTTGCCCACATGAACATATGTTGCAATTATGGTCACATAAGGCTAATGTCACCGTTGTGTGCTGAGACGAGTCCTATGGCATAAAACACTAAGAAAGCTGGCAGTCACCAAGTCACCTTTGTCCCCGTTATCTTAAAGACTGCCAACACTGTGGAGTCACTTGAATGCCATCTACTTTAGCCCATCTCCCTTATGGTTCCACTTGTGGAGTGGAATCCCACGGGAGTTAGGAACTGTGCCAAACAGCAATGGTGCATACTACTGTTCCGGGGATACAGACCGTCTCGTAATACAGAGGCTTGGTCGGCAGTGATGTTCCACTTTCTCCTCATATGTGTCTCATGGCACCTGCCAGATGGCCAGTGGACATGAAAACTAAAGCCAAGGCCAGAAGCCAGAGCAAAACAGAATTGGCTGACACTAGTGGTGAGCCATCAACGTGACAGCTTATTGCACTAGCTTCCCATGGACTGATGACACTTAAAACGCCCAGCCAGACCCGCACTTCCATTGAGCCATATTGGGACGTGAAGACCTTTTAAATACAAGTATGTCCCAAATATTACATAGAATTTATCTGTTTTTTAAAAAATAAAACAACCCTCACTGTTGATCTAAAGTTCAAATCTAAACAGACATTCTATACTTTATGGACTGATTCTGGCAAATCTACCCCCAGGAAAACTCCCTATTCTCCTGTTTTCCACCACCCAGAAACCTGCTGGATGTGTGCACATGTGTGTGTGCATGTGTATGTGTGTATATGCCTCTGTGTGTGCATGTGTATGTGTGTATATGCGTGTGTGTGTGTGCATGTGTGTAGAGGTAAAAAGACAACTTGAAGGAATTGGTCCTCTCTTTCCACCATGTGGGTCCTGCAGATTAAGCTCAGACCAGCAAGCTTGGCAGCAAGTGCCTTTACCCACAGAGCCACTTTGCCAATCCCAAGCCTATAACTATTTTAGTAGACATATATTCTTTGTTTAGTATACTCCCCTTCTTCTGCATCCATCATACCCTAGTATGACTGACCAATAGCATGATGGGAGTTTCTTCACTATCAAGTTTTTCTCCTAGGAAGCAGCATTAGTACCTCCATGCTTCCATTCCCTCCAATACACATAATTTGGGAGCACCTCTTTAAAATACATATCCCCCTGTCTTAGATTGGGCATTTGGCTCCTCTAGCCAAAACACTAACCTCTCCTACAACTGTTTCAAGTGCAGCCTTTCCAGCAGATAAATGGAGGATATAAATCATCCCATCTGTCCCCACACAGAGGGGCCCAGTGACCGCTCTGGAAAGCTACATGGGATTGCTACAGTCTTGACTGCTCTTTTAAAAAATCTGTTTTCTATCATGAAAAAAATGATCTAAAAATACTTGCACAGAACACCAGGACAAAGCCATCACAGCGATCTCTCCAAAGGACTCAGGTTTCTATGGATTTCATCATCTTCTGTCACTACGCATTCTGAAATTTGAAGAAAGTCATGTCTGCTTGGCAGATGAAATGCCCCAAAGTATTAATTGGCAAAATTCCAATTATCTATGGTATATCACAGAAGGAGAAAATCAAACAAGTCAGAAGTAAACAAGGTTTAGAGTGTACTAAGACTCATGGTGGGATTTTTAAAGCTTTGTGAAAACATTTCTACTAATAATCAATTGGAGAAAAGTGTTTATTAAATCAATAAAAATACAAAAAAAATAGTTGCCATTCAAGTAAACTGAAGGCAGAACTTATGTGTCTGATAATGTAATCTTTGGTGTTTGATTGGAAAATTATTTTTCAGGGTTTGGAATCTAACCCAGGGCTTCACGCAACCTAGATAAATGCTCCACCACTAAGCTACATTCTCAGTACCCCCAGATAATTTTTAAAGCTTTATTACTATTGTATGAATGTACTGTTGCATGCATATGGATATGCACGTATGTATGTATAACATTTGCATGACTGGTGTCCACAGAGGCCAGAAGAAAATGCCAGAGCCACACAACTGCTGTCACAGATGGTTGTTCGCCACCTAAAACGAGTGCTAGGAACTGAACCCAAGTCCTCTACAAGAGCAGCAGAGGGTCCTAACTAATGAGCCATCTCCCTACCCCATCTTCAGATTAATGCTTGTAGAGGCTAACGTTGCTGAGTCTCTCATTAGGGCTGCACGACCAGAACTGGACTCGTTCTCTCTCCTGCAAGAACAGGGCTCTCATTTCAAAGGAACAAAGTTTGCACTGGAAATGGGTAAAGAGAAAACAAGAGAGGGAGGGAGGGAGGAAAAGAAGGAGGGAGGGAAGGAAGAAAGGAGAGAGGGAGAAAAGAAGGAGGAAGAACAAATGAATACAAACAGCTGACCTTTGCTGGGAAGCTCTGTCCTGGGATCCCAGGGTCCTTGCTCAGAAGGGAGGCTCTGGCCACTTCATAAGCTCCTCTCTGGTCCCATAAATTCACCCCTGAATCAAAAGAAAAGCAGCTGGGTTTTCATTCTGGTGGAAGAATTTGGCATCAGAAGCTTATTACAAAAATGACACAGTGAAAATACTTGGAAGTTGAGCGAGTCCAGGGAAATGCTAGCATCCATTAAATCACAGTAAGCATTAGAAACGAATGAATTCTGTCAATCTCAACATGAAAATACTGTACCTTAAAGACAACAAACTGAATTATTTTCCTACCAGGCCTATAATCCATGTTAGATTATTAGTTCAGGCGAAGTATATAATTCAGTGCTTCAATTAGCACCGAAGCACACATGCGGTGACTTTTAAAAATGATAAATTAGGACTATGCTTAAGATCAACTCGGTATTAAAAGTCCCAAGGCCTTAGCTGTATTAAGACTAAATCCATTTACTTAAGTCTCAGTGAATCTGTTAGACACAACGCCAAGTCTCCTCTGGGCACTTAGGAAGTCTAATTTTATATACTTTGGTAAGTGATTCTATAGATAAAATTAATTTGCCAGTTCAAACCAACTAGACTGGTTTATTATTTTTTTTTAACTAAAGTCATTCAAAAAGCTATCCTACACACTTGTTTCTTAGGGTCTTCTCTGTGGAGCTCGACAGCCCACAGGTTCAATTTGACCCCATTTCCATAAGCACACCCGATGGAAAGAATAACATTTTTCTCTTCTGGAGCGTGTATCGTTTTCATAACCAGCATGGTGATTTCTCTGGACTTGTTCGCCTATGAGGTCACACCCTTGCTATTCGGTGGGCCCACAGCATGGGCCTGGAGGTGAAGGATGGGACCAGATTCCCCCACGTGTTATTCCCATTCCTTCAGCCAGAATCCAGGATTTTCAGACCTGAGTCATAATAGCACAGTTTCAAGTTACTAAAGACTTCATATTTATGGGGCACAAACGGTATTGAAATTTTAATCCTAGACATTTTACAATTCCCTTAAGACTTCTAAATCCACACCGTTTTATCATTCTCGATGTGGAAGTCTGCAGTTATAGTCAGGTTACAAAGGGATTACTACTGGAACATCAACCGTCTCATGTAGCCTTTCCAGAACATTCTCAAAGCTGGTCTCAAGCATTCTAAACCCCTGGTTGTTGAGCAACTGGGGGTGAAAAGTCATGAGCATGGCGAGAGGCAGAGAAATGAACTGGGTCCCTCAGCCATGTTGGGAAAGAGAGAAAAGGATATTGGGCACAGGTCGGGGAAGGAGGGCAAAGGCATTTGCAATGAGTAATGTTCACTCCTAGCCAGAGATAGTATAATTGCTCATGAGAGAAACTTCTGGGCATGTCTGAGAGAGAGCTTATAATTGGGTTCACTGGCGTGGGACGACCTAAAGTTGGTGACACCTTCTTATTTCTGGAGTTCCAGAGTCAGCAAAAAGGAGGCAGTGAACTGAGCAATAACCCTCCACTTCTGCTTCCTCACAGTGGATGCCATGTGACCAGCAGCCTCAGACCCCTGCCACTAATGCCTGCCTTGCCAGGATGGATGGTTCCCTTGAACGTGAACTCAAACGAGCACTTCCTTCCTTAAGTCACCTTGACTTAAGTGTTTGGTCACGGCAAGGAAGGTAATGAATATCATAGTCAGATGACACAAATCCTGAGAGATGAATCTGCCTGTGAGAGATGACATCTGTCCACATCAGGGGAGTACTTGCCAGAGAGAAAGGAACAGACTGTCTGGATGGAAGATGTCAGAAGTCACCTCGCTGCAGTAGCTCATGCTGACAGCCTGGAGCCCTGTGTTTTTGTCTGATGGCCTTCAGAGGCTCATAGGTTGTGCATCCAGGGCTTGTCGCCATGGCTTTCTGGTCGATTGTTGCACAGGTTGTGCATCCAGGGCTTGTAATCAAGGCTTCCTGGTCCCATTGTTGCACAGGCTGTGCATCCAGGGCTTGTCACCATGGCTTCCTGGTCCACTGTTGCTCTACCTCTGTTTACTCACTCGCCGAGTAATATCCACTTTGGGCTTGCTTGTGGGTGCTCTAGACGTGATGCTTCCATTCAGAAAGCCCATTCTGTCCACTCAGGCCAGCACCTCCTATTGTTCCCTGATGTTAGTGTTTTCTATCTGCATTATGGAAACCCTGCTCTCTTAAATCTACTCCATCCCAGGAGATGTAGCTGTGTCAATCCTGGGTCTAGCGTACAAACACAAAGGGAACTGCCCTCTGATGGTCGTACTTGGCAGAGAGACCAAAGAATGAACGTGAGCTGCACATCCTTAGTCTGAAAACCAAACTCTGAAACCACCCCGGATACAAACATTCTTGACCTAGAAATGCTACTCCTGGCTCCGTGTGATGGTCACAATGCAGGTACTTGAATGCTGAGTGTGATAAAGCATATACAGAAGTGTGTTTAAATAGTATGTGGAAGACAAAGGGGCACTGGGAGATGGTTCAGTCCATAAACTGCCTGCTGTGTGAGAGTGGGGATGGAAATTCAGATTGCCAGTATCCATAGGAAAGCAAGATACGGCGGTGCACATCCATAACCCCTGCATTGACTGTGTGAGGCAGGCAGACACAGGTGAACCCCTGGAGTTCACTAGCCAGCCAGTCTAGCCAATTCGTGAGTTTTGGGTTCAGCAAGGGAATAATAATGTCTCAATAGCATCATCATCAACAATAACAATAATATTAATAGTGTATAAAGAAACAGAAAAGAACCCAATATTGACCTCTGGCCTCCATTCACCCATGCATATAGAAACACATAAACAGTAGAAAATTGTTTTTATAGAAATACAAGTGAATTTTTGAGTTTATGCATGAGGCACATCTCCAAAGTATCTAGTAATACATATGCATATAATATTCCAAAATCTAGACAGTTTATGAAATAATTTCCAGTCCCAAGGAAGCAACCCGAAGAGGCACTCAGCCTGTAAGACTGATTCAGAGGGCATCACATGTGCTATGAAAGGAGACCGGAGGAGGAGGCTCTGCATCCTCCATCCTCTGCATCATTCTTGGACCTCTTCTGCAAATTCAACATGGCCGCAAGAAAAGTACAACAACAAGGAAATCAGTGAATGGGGAATGGCTGGAGATGAGACCCTTGAGGGAGAAGCCAGGAGAGAACTTTTAGAATACTGCTGGCCTTGTGGAATACTTGAGCTGAGACCTGCAGGTTAGAACTCTTTAGTCCCAGTGGAGCCCCGGGAAGGCAGATCACATTGGCCAAGAAGAGTGAGAGTTATCTTCCATCTGTGACAGGCGGAGTGTGGCCAGCTGATCACACCTAGTGCAGCTTAACCATAGCTCGTCCCCAAAGCATTACTCATGGGACTTCATAGACACTGGGTGCTTTACCTGGGACTTAGGAGACTCACACATCATAGTGGGTTCTGATCCAGTGAGGCAGCTCCTGCCAATTCACACCACAGTCTGTAAAGGGCTTATGAGAGAGCTGGTAGGGTACTTGAATTGGGTAGAGGCCATTTAAACATACCAGTACTTGTGAATTACCAGCACCACTGAAAACCATGCCAGGTGAAAAGAATGAGTTGGCCACCATGGTGTTCTTTGCAGTCAGGTACTAGTGTCATGAAGGTGGGCACGGGCATCTTAGCCTTCCTCCCACATAGATGTACCAATGGACTTATAGGCTACCCCTGCCAGCTTTGAGTTAAACTAGCAATACAAGTCAACTTGTTAAACTGGTGGAGAGTAAGGCCAGTTGTGCTAGGACCTGACACTTGGCAGAAGAGGGCTGACACCAGTATCATTTATTCCTTACCACCCAACGCCAGCGAGAGGAAGACAATGTTTCTGCATACATTCCAGCTACAGTAGAGAAATGCCTACTAGACTTCTGCATAGCCTTGAGGCGAGGTCTCTGCATGTTCTACAGCCCACTGGAGTTGCTGTCTTAGGTGGATGGAGATGGTGCACTAATCAAGCCATTACCATCTGCTTGCCCTGTAGAGACACCCTGACTTTGGGAGCCTAAGGGAGGCCTGAGTGTGAGGAACTTGCATTTGATCATACTGAGGCTCAAGAAACCCAATGTGAAGAACCTTCCCAGTCTTCAGGGCCAGTTCCTCCACATTCTAGGTGACAGAAAATGACAGCTATTCGATTTCCTGTGGGTCAAATATGCCACACATTAAACAATCCCCTGAACTTTCCCCTACATTTTTCCAGACTCCGAATCCAAAGTAAGACTCTCTATTGGCTCTAAAGTTCTCCACAAAGAGACTTTATTTCTAGTTACTCCTAGGAGAATCTGAAGGCAGGCTGGACCAATGCTTGTGAGACATTTTGCAAGGCTCTGGAGAAGTTGCATAACTGCACTATTTGCTGAGCACAGTGTTTATTATCTGTGTACAGGAATCATGGAGCCATCTCTGCGTTTTTTAATTGGTTGCACAATATCCCCTCCACGGGATCTGTGGTCAGGAGGCTGTTTCTATGAGCTTTGCTTATGTATTTATGCACTAGTATTTTTTTTAGATGATACAAATAAAATTTTTATTTGTGCAGCATGGGGAGACAGGATGAATTACACACAGCTGTGAGATATCAGGATGTATTTTATGCAGCTATCTTGTTGACAAACCGTAAAAGGAGGTCTTGAATGATGCATACGTTCAGAAAATATGACCTTATAAAATGCACAGTTTGTACACAGTTTGTTTTTCGTAATCTGTATTTGGGCATCGACAAAACTCACTGTTATCTAAAGAAGAAATGTGGGCAACTCATACTGGGGAGAAGCTTCCAACTTCTTTGCTCCTGGGTAAACCTGACATGCCATTTGCTCTGTGGATAAAGAGTCTGTACCTGTCTCATCGTGGAAACAAGGCACAGTAGATACTTTGATTTTTATTACTAATTATCTTCTTTGAGAATGAACTTTCATCATGTGTGTGTATATGTGTGTGTGTGTGTGTGTGTATACACTCTGCTTTTCCCTCAGTCATTGTCTGCCATTTTCAGAGCTGAATTAGAGTAGTCAAGAAAGACATTAT